TTGCACGTGTTTCGCGCTTTCTGCCATCAGCTATACGAAACATTTGGTTCTAGCTTAAAATAGCTTAGCCGAGACAGCGCTAGATTTTTCATGCTGAAAGCTACATGCCCCGTGAGTACTTGACAGCCGGCATTAAAGGTGGCACGATTTCGCGACTTACTTGCTCGAAGTTTTCCAGTATGTCGTGAATTCGTGACATCCGGCAGTAGAGAAAACTGGTAGGTGTTTTGTGGTAGAGGGTTAACGTGGAAAAAAAAAAAAATCCGAGCACACGGGTTCACAGCATTTTCGCTTCCATCGAAAATGCAGCCGGGTATCGATACTGCGACCTGCCGGTCAGCAGCCGGGTACTTTATCCACTAGGCCACTACCGCGGACCACAACTGGAAAGTAAAAAAAAAAAAAAGTGCTCCGATAGTTTCCAGGCGACTCATCGCGCAGGATGCATATGCATGCCGGTATCTGATAAAACAACTGTGTTGGCTACTCACTCTAGCGACGTACTAGGCTCATCATTGAGAAGATTACTTGAATTCACCGGCACGTGGTTTTTCTATGTGAAATTCCCTGCTGCTTAGCTTTATTTTGTATTCATTTTTGTGCATTCATTGATATATGATTGCAGTGATGTCATGCGATAGGTATATATCCTTGGTGCTTTGCAATAAAATTTCAAATTAGCGCTTGTCCTGGTTGTCCCCTTGGTCTGTTGTCTACCTTTTTTTCGCACTTGAGCTGTAAAAAAAGCTGAACACTGATTTATCATACGGTCGCTGTACAGGTCCGCCACTCACAGGCAATCAAGCTTGGGAAAGCCGCTGCTGCCGTGGCTGATAGAAGTGTTCGCGCAATGCACGTGTCTTCGGTTCGGAGTTGTGTGCCCCGCAAACTTGGTTATTCGACGTCGATTCGTCCAGGTCTTGGCGACGAATTCTGCTCAGCCACAGTGCTCAGCGCCGTGACGACAGCTCCGTTGTTTTAGCACACTCTCTTAGGTTGACTTTCTATAATCCTACCCGTCCAACATTTTGTTGAGCTTGCTGTTTGTGCGATTGTATCAACTGTAAACCGTGCTGTTGATCATCGTTGATTTGATGTAACTCGACCAGCAACAACGTGCTGCTGCACGTTCACTTATACAAATTCATACTGCACGCACTAGTAGAGAGATGTAGGCCCGTGTGCTCAGATTTGGGTTCACGTTAAAGAACCTCAGGTGGTCGAAATTTTCGGAACCCTCCGCTACGGCGTCTCTCATAACCATTGGTGGTTTTGAGACGTTAAACCCCACATATCTATCAACGCAGTAGTAGAGGAAACTTTCGTCGCAGAAGTTTTGCAAATGCGACTCGGAAGCACACCGAAGGCCAAGAAACACCAGACAACACTCATCACATAGGCAAAGCAACCATATATATAGTGGCAAGCATATGCTCTTCTACTGCGTTACAGTGGAGCTGCGTGGAAATCCCCCGAAAATGGCCTCCCGGCCCGGCGCACGGCTGCGCACCACATTGAGAATGAGTGTCAGTGCAATCTCCCTAAAAAAGAATGTAACCGTTCATTTTTTTTCCGGAATTCTGAGTGCGCTTCAATGTTCTTGCCGCCTATGCTTGTGGTCAATGGAATGGAATGAAAAAAACTTTATTTCAGTCCTGCAGGACGCGCTTAGCGCGTAGCGGGCGTCTCCCACGTAGGGACCGACAGGGAGTACCTGGCGGCCGCTTCGTGGGCCTGCTGGACGGCCCATTGCTGGTCGGCGAGAAGTGAGCTCCTGAGGGACCTCTCCCACTTGCTTGAGATAGAGTCGGGAGGAGTTGTTCTACACTCCCAGAGCATGTGTGCGAGTGTCGCTGTGTGTCGGCATGATGGGCATGTGTCGCTGGGGTATGCATCGGGATAATAAACGTGAAGCGTGGCAAGGTTTGGGTACGTGTGTGTCTGTAATAGGCGTAGGGTTAATGCCTGCGGTCGGTTAAGTTTCAAATGTGGGGGTGGAAAAAAGCGGCGTTCCTGGTAAAAGTGCTTTGTAATTTCATTGTACGTGATTGGTGCATCCCGATTGGTATCCAACCCAGCAAGATGAGGTTGCCCTGTGGCAGCGCGGTCGGTAAGTGCTCGCGCTGCATCATGGGCGATCTCGTCGGGGTTGGATAGGGCACCCGGCACCTGGCCGAGATGGGCGGGGAACCAGATGACAGTGTGGTGCTTCAGGGCACTCGGGTCCGCATTGCGCAGGATACGTAACGCCTGGTCGGAGATGACTCCGCGTTCGAAGGCTTGTGGTCAACTTATTTTGTTTTACAGCCAAAGCTGTACATGGCTTGGTGAAACAAATAAACCATTCGCCACGAGAAACGCTAAAGGCCCAACTACCACAGCCTAACCACACGAAGCTGTGCGTGGCGCAGCGCCCTCTCCCTATGCGGAGAGAGGGGCATGAAACTAGGCGCGCCCTCTCTCTTCCTAGGAAGAAGGCGCGGCGCCGCGTAGTCCTTAAACGGCTCCATTGCCTGCTCCGTCAGTGAAGTCGTTTTCTACGTCGCACCCAAGCGCGTGACGTCCTTCATCCCTTCGAAGCCGTGCCGCCGAGCCCGCGCGCAGCAGTTTCAACGGAGTGGCTTCGTAAGAAAAAAAAAAACGAAATGAAAAAAGTGCAGTGCCGTCTCTTGTGAAAGTCACCTCAACAGCGCTACACAGGCATGGGTAGTGGCAGAGAAAGAAATGTAGAAGTGCAGGAAAAGATGCGAAATGGGGTCATTTGGCCCCGCCCTGTGCTCGTGCGCGTGTCCTAGCTCAGCAAAGTCGTCAAGCAGGTCGACAGGCAAATGAGGGATGTAAACAAGAATCACGTGACTGGCTCACTGGCGCGTCAAATTTGACGTCGCAGGTAGGTTCAACTTACAGCTTCCTCATAGGGAGAGCTTGGACCGTACGAGCGCATGAACACAGCCTCGGGAAAACATCGCCGTCAGCTCATCTGTTATAGAACATTAATTTTCACCGGGCCGATGCAGCGTTCCGGGTGCAAGAACAGGCCCAGGGGACGAAACGTTAGCAGCAACTGCGCACCGATGATCCGTCAGCCTTCCTAGCAGAATTCAAGCGACAACGGTGCGCCGAGAAAGCGGCGTTGTAGGCAGAGCAGCGTGAACGAGACAATGACAGAAACGCGTATGCCGTGGCTATAGTGAACTAGATTATCTATAGCCGGGCCGACGCCTTGCTTTCGGTGGAAGTTTTTCAAGCGGCTTCGGCTACGACGTCTGCAACCGCCTGTGCCCGCAAGTTTCAGCTCCGCTGTTTTACTACGGAGTGTTTGGGCTGACTCACCGTAATATAACGTTCTTTTAAGAAAATGGTTAACCCGTTTTTCTCGTAAGCAACTGCATCACATGACATAGCATTTTGCACGTGCACAGAAATGTGTGTGTGTGTGTGTGTGTGTGTGTGTGTGTGTGTTTCAAGGGAGAGGAAATATCCATGCTCCCTCATAGACTCCGAAAATTGCGATTCGTCCTCAACGGTCTCGATCTCTTTCTCCGTCAAGTAGACGGGCCTGCTTGATCGTTCTTTCATCTCTGTCAAATAACTTACGTTCGTTTTGTGGCATCAAAACGACATCGTGACGCCGTCGCCTAACTGCTTCATATACTGCATAGTACGTGTATCTACCGTTCCTCCCTCGGGTATACCAAACACAGCACCGATGGCGGTTGCTAGTACCTGCGCGGTTTTCTAATTTGAAGGATACCATTTGTTTTTTTTTATACACGGCGCTTGTTCGATGTACAGTAAGCGGTGAACTGCTAGATACTGACAGACATCGAGGAGTAGGTGCAGGTTGGCAGAGGGCACCAATACGCGGTATAAGGGATGGGTCATGGCGAAATGGCGACTCGAGAGAGGAGAGAGAGAAGCAACATTAATAAGAGCCCGGCGATCATAAATCGGGGTGGGCTTGAACCCCGGCCTAGGCATCAGCCGCGATCCCTTGGGCTCGGGCGGCTTCCTCTGGCGACTCGATTAAAAAAAAAAAAACGCCAGGCCTGCGCGGAACACGCAGCACAGTTGCAACGAAAGCTAGAAGAGGGGCCTTTCGCTACTCGCTCACTGGATTTCGTGCCGACCGGTTGTGCCCCGCGATCTCCGACGACAGCGCAGCTCTGGCCGACTGGCTCGCCCTACGTTATCTCCTGGCGCAGACAATAGCTCTCGCTGAGTGGTGCCCCGTCCACGGACTCCTGCTACCGTGTTCATCTTTCCCTCTCCTTACTTCCGTATGTCACAGTCCCCTGCGCCACGTTCTCTCCTTCCTCCTTTCTCTATCTCTATACCTTGAATCCAATTCTTTTAATCTCTCATTACCCCTATCCCTCGTGAGCTACTGTTGAGGTGTCGCACTGTGACGCAGACAGTTACGGGACTCACTGTTCTTTTCTCCTTTAAGAATCGCATCAGAGGGGCCTTTGGGAGCCCTTTTAAGAGACTCCTTGGGACACTGCAAGCAGCCACTGCCGGGTACCTACTATATCATAATCATTAATTTTCTGTAGTAGGCCAGCATTCACTATGCTATCCTTCGTCATTCTTTGGAGAAGATATGTGTAAGGAAAAAAGTATTCTTCTAAAGTGTTTTGTTTCTGGGCTGCCGTTAGAATGTCGAGGTGGACGGCCCTGCGAAGAACTATATAAACATACTTAGGTAATAAAAAAAGGTAAGAGGGGGGAGGGGCGAAGCGACACAGTGTCCCGACCAAACCTCAAGAGGCAGTTTCCCTTGACCGTCACTCGCTCTCGGTTCCAGGAAGAGCAGGGTTATGCAACGGGACCCCAGGCAAGCTTCGGTTCGTGTAATATTGAGCCAGCGAAACCAGAGGAGATAGCTTGTAAAACTCGTTGCATTGTGCTTGTAATTTGCCTCAGTTTTCAAGCGTACACATTCGTAGAAGCCATGCCTAAGAAGCATTGCCACAATTACAGGCGAGAAACACCAGAAGTTCCCGCTTGCAAGCGTGTTTTATAGCTCCCCCCAACACCACGCCGCAAACAGAGACGAAAGAAATGCCACAGTCATTTTCTTTGCAGAGTGATAAATAAAAAAAATAAAACGACAGACTGAGGTCCCACGCGCGGCTGAGTGACGAAAAGATGCGGCGTCCGTCACTTGTGCCGCTTGTCCGTGTGCTCGGAAGAGATGATCTCGCAGCGTCGCCACTTCTCGGTCTGGAAGCGCACCTCGCGACTGTCCCTGCGCGGCACGGGGCGCGGCTGAGAAGACGCGTCGGCCGAGTCGCGCCGTGACTCCGACGAGCCGCCGAAGAAGCTCAGTATGGAGGACGCCGACTTGCTCTTGTTTATCTTGAAGGCCTTTTCCTCCTTCTCCTTGCTGCTCAAGAAGCGACGCGACGAGCCCTTGGACTTGCGAGCCGCCGGCGCTGCCTCGATGGTGATGGTCACTTCCTCCTCCGTCGTCGCGGACGACGGAGGTGACGATTCCCGCGTCGGCTTTCTCAAGGGCCTCGCCACGGTCGAGGACTCCGACGTGGCTTCGGTCAGGTAGGCCGGCACGTTGGGAGCCGAGGGCATCTTCAGTGTGAAGGACACTTCGACGTCGACGTTGCCGTCGTCGTCGTCGTCGCCATCTGCTCTGCGGCCTTTTGACGTCGCGGGAGCGTGACGCCGCTCGCTAGCGCCACGAGCCTCGGGCGTGATTAGTATGTAAGGCACTGGGTCGTCCTGCTGCTGGGACGACGCGGTCGAGCGCCGTTCCCTGCCGCGATGCGTCGCTACCGTCGTGACGGGTCGCATGAGCACCGTCCGAAGTTGCTCTTCCGCCTCTTCTTCGTCGTCCTCCGCGTTGGCGCCGTCGAACACTTGGTCGCTGCCGTCGTCGTCTTGAGATCTGTGAAGAGGGCGTGGAAAATAAAATTTAGTTCTCGGAATAGTCTGCGACAAAGCGGTCATTCGCCTATTCATCACTACGCCGATGTCATGATATTATCTTTGTTATTAAATATAAAATGAGAGTCCTACAAGGTCATTGTTCCATATTTACTTGATAGTGACGCAACGCAATTATATGGACACTCTCGGCGCTGCACTTTTAGCGTCGCCGTCGGCGGCGCCGTGATGCTCCCCATGAAGTTCAAATAGACAACATCGCCCCGCGAGCTGCATACATTCTATTTGCACGCGAATTAAAGAGCGCGAGCGCAGATCACGAACGCTTATCTATCGGAGAGGAAGCGTGCTGGCCGTCTTTTGTCATGCGAATGGCTCACGGGGCGATGGGTGGCTGCTTGGCTACTTTTTAGTTTTCTTTTTTGTTCTCTGGCTAGCTCAAGTTAATCTTGCCCGCCCGATACAAAAGGGATCAGCTTCAAACTGTTACAGACATCATCATCATCATTATCATCATCATCATCATCATCATCATCCGCACTTTGCCCATTCGGGCGCAGCTGCCCGCACTCTTTACAGGTATCAGCAGACGGCTCTTTTTACCCGCTGGTCTCGCCGCTCTGTTTAGAATATAGTGACAGACAGCACGAATGTAGTCTCGATTGCTGCAGTGGTCGCGTATTCTTCCGCCGTATAGTTTTGTAGTTACGCCACATTGTATACTACAGGAGGTGGCCGACAGATGCGTATAATATTCAAGTTTGTTGCTATCGCATGTGGTGGAACTGTGGCCTCTTTATGTGGCAATCGTGTTCAATTTTTAGTGCCCATTTTTAAACAGAACGGACGCATATGCAGGAGAAGGAGGAAGAAGAATTACCCAGGTGCGCTGTAGAAGCGCCTCCTGAGGAGGATTTCGAGGTCCTCGGGGCTCTCGACGAGAAGCCTTTTGTAAAGACTGTCCAAGTCCTCAGCCGAGACCTACGCCAGACGGCAGATGGAGAGTAAAGAAACGGACTAGGACAGTTTGTGCATCAGCGAGACTCATGGATGACAAATATGATGGAACATAGAACACATATCGTACAGCTATCTCGAACTTTCGTTTCGTGCGCTCACCCGAAATAGCTCCTCGTAGTTTTCGATCAGCTGCCGCACCACAAGGATGACCTCGCAGCGCTCCTCGGCTCCTCTCCAGGTTCTCCACGATGAACTTGTCCTTCTCGGAAGTCTTGCTGAAGCGCAAGATGTTCGGTCCCCAGCATGGTGGCCAGGTTGTGGGCGTCCATCTTGTTTCCCGGAAGCTGCGCATACAAACGTGCGCGTAAGTGCACGCGCAGCAGCATCAGATGGGACGACAGTAAGCAACCATCTATAGTCGGCAGCAATTCTGGACTGTTTTACAGATGTGTTTGAGTGTCGCCATACTGGGCTGTTAGCCTTATGTGTTTTGCATCTTTAACAACAAAACGATCGTTGTTATGGCAGACGCAATGAAAATGGTTGGGTTGTTGCATACGGTGTTTCATAAGCTTAATCATTCACGTCGCAATATACGAAATTAACAAACAAACAAACAAACAAACAAACAAACAAACAAACAAACAAACAAATAAACAAACAAACAAACAACCAACCAACCAAACATTGGCTTCACAGCCCTAGACGGTGGCGCCCAGCTTTCTAAGCCTATATATGACCAACAAATCTGTACCAAACACCTCGAATTCGTAATGTCGGCCAGTAAAGATAGCCTTGATAATGCAAAGCTCAGCGCAATAATTGTATAGCGTAGACTGTCACAGAGGTAACCTGCTCAAACGCTATATCACAGCACGCTTTGTTTCACTGTGCACGCGCCTTAACGAGTGCATGCGCAGAGGGCTCAAGCCAACGGCAACAATCCCGAGGAATGGTGAAGTGAAACAGAGGTTCTGGATTCAGTAACATTTGCATTTCGCCCATGCCCTACTGATGCAAAACTAACGGTAATTTGACTATAAATAGCATCCATAGTCTTTTTTTTCTTCAAACTATACTGATAGTGTGGATAAACTATTGATAGTGCAATCGATAGCTGTTTGTTGGCTAGATATAGTGCCACAGCTTTTTGGATATACAGAGCCTACTATCATCAATACTTAGTTGTCATAATATATGGGCACACTTTACAGCACAGCTGGTGTGATCCAGGTTCGCCGTGTGTCGCAGATAGAAAATCATCGCCACCATGAATCTCTAATTTCGCGAAATAAATTATTTCCGCAGTGGAAAAAACCAGAATATGTCCATCAACAAAACGATATCCAAAAATAACCAGTTACACCATAAAATTACCAAACTTAGTTGTTAATAGTTTTATACTGTAGTTAAACAACGCAGTGGGCCGCACAGTGACGACACATGCTGTGGTTTACTTTCCGCTACGTAGGATCAGTTCGTCGTAACTATCATGTTTCAGCCGACCATTCTTGAGAAGGCGTAGAAGCACGTCAGCTTTCTTGCCCTTTAGAATACTCCTCCTGCCTAACCGTACATCACGCAATCGTAGAACTGCAGGGTGACTGACCAAGTCTATGTTGCGATGGGTTCACGCAAGTGATATTGTACTAACGACCGTACTGAGGATACGATATTTTTTGTTCATCGGTGGTTCGATAGTCTAGAAGAGAATGGATGCGAGCCCGTTGGTACGGATCCATCTGGAAGAAACGGAACTAATTCAAACGCGGACTAGGAAACATCGCACGGGCGCTGTCCTCGTGTGATGTTTCTTAGTCGGTGCTTGAATCAGCGCTGTTATTTTCCGAGGGAGTTCGGTAGTGACTCGGCAATCGATAGCCTCGATAGTAACATCCCTAGTTCTGCACCATAACATACCCATGTGCTACCACTGCACCTGTGGTCGAAACCGTCAGGCTCGAGCTCAGCTTTACTTAACGTATACGAGATGATGAGCAGAATGGTCGTGCAGATGAAGCATTCATTCCGGCTTGCGCTACTATAGAGAAAGCAGGCTCAAGCAAGCACTCACGGGCTGTCCCGTGGAAGACTTCTTGTCGACCGAGTTCTCGGCTACGGTGTTTAGGAACTTGAGCAGGGCCCACAGGGTGTCTCTGCTGTGCGTGGGCAGGAGCCGCACCAGCTGCCGCAGGATGTCCAGTTGCTTGCTTCTCTCGCGAACACCTACGAGATGGGTGGTTGTGCGCCATCGTGAGTAGGCGTATTCCCACGTCATGATACACCCGGTCTGATCCGTTTTATTTTAATGTGGCGACCGATTTGACCCTCATCGAGGCGAAGTACGTTTCGCTTCGAACAAGTAACGCTTGTCTGTAGAGCTGGTCAAGCTACACTGGTTGCTTATTTTCACGCGTAAAGAAAAGTTATTATCCTCCCAATGTTTGTGCAAGCACTTATTCTCGCTGCTGAAAAGAACAACGAACATGCCCACATGATCGCTGAAGCTACGTATAACAGGCGGTCGCCTATATCGCAGCGCAAATGCGTTGGGTCACATCCATAGCCGATATTCGCTGTGCGCTGACATTCAATTTTTTTATTTCAAGTGACTTACAGGCCTCATGGGGGGCATTGAGTAAGGGGGGGGGGGCAGCACACAAAATATATATGCATATACATACCAAAATCGAGAAAATACAGAATAAACACTTCTAATTAATAAATTACAGAAACTAATTAAACGCGTACACGTACAAAAGATACATGCATGGAAATAGTAAACTAAACGCTGCGTTTCTTGCGCACAAAAAACGGAGCAGTCACAAGGCACAATCTTCGCGTACATAGCTATGACAATCTTGAAAACAAATTCATATTAAAAAATTGCTTGAATTGAAGATTACCGAAGTTGAAGTGCCGAGATTTAACAGGACAAAAGTGGGTGAGGAATCGTCACCAGTGAGAACGCGAAATTTCAGTGCAGAATAAGTGGCTTCGGAGTTGAAAGAACTGGTGTACAGACAGACACCCGGATAAATAGAAGGTAACGTATGCAAGTGCACTTACGCTGGGTGTACAGAAAAGGCTGGTACAGGTCTCTGGTGAGAAGTGGCTGAGGCAAGTCGCGCAGATACTCTTTGAGCAGCTGCGCCACGTCGTGCGGCTGAGGTCTCTCCTGGTCGAGGTGCACCTCGCGGCCGCTGTCGAACTCCTCGCGCAACTGCGTTAATTAGTTAATTAAATAATTATGCGGTAGCACTCTTACATTTCCACAAAAAAAAAAACTAAACATTTTGTGAGTTGTGACCAGTGGTAAATTAACTGTGCTCTCTAACACGAGCCCTTTTTTGGACTATATGGCTTACGAATGATATGCGCCGCGCGGTCAATTAAACAGGGGGAGGAAAAAAAAGGAGAGGGGGCAGGGAAAGAAGGGCATAGAAAGAACGTCCAATCTGTTCCTTTGTAAACAGTATCTTCTTTTATAAAAAAAATCAACCTTGAACCACATAGCCTCCGTGAAGTGTGCTTTAAGCAGATATAATTTACCTAATGACATTAGTTAGCGTTATATTGTTTGGAACATAGCGTTACATGTGCCATTAGCAAAACCTATTTATGTCAATCACCTTTCCAGTGCAAAGGATGCGGCAACAATGCAAGTACTATTCAGTGACACTTCATTCTGCTATCGAATCCAATCGATGGGAAAACGCGGTAAAGCGGGTCTCTGTAAATGTGGCGCCACAGCGCTGCAAATGTCGCTGTTTGTATTCTGTGCTGGCATCTATCCTTTTGACGATGATGAGTTTCTTCGCTGGAGCATTGTTTCCAGGCTTTTTTTTTGTTGACTTAGATTTGAGCATAGTTCCGTAATGTGATCAACGATTTATAAGATGCTGTTATGGTGGCTCACCGTGCGTGGCTGGTGATAGACTTACACTAGAGCATCGTCAGTGAAAGCAGTACGCTTTATATAGAAAAACATTGCTCTGAATATCCCTGCGTATATAAATCTTCAATCAGCAGATAAAAAAATATTGTTACAATATTAAAAGACAGACAGAACTGCATCATTACCTGGCGAACTCTCCGCTTTGAGCCGCTGACCCTAAATATGCCCACGGTGTTGAGACCTGCGATGCAAGCAATGCACACTGTTAAGGTCACCTCTCTTTCAAAGTTGCGTTCACACACAGTCAGGACTAATTATCTCTACGGATTTAGCAATCTCAATGAGGTACCGGAAGCAACAAAGCGTGCGTTTGTGATGGCGGTAAAGCTGGTTTCACCACATTTAGTCACACATTGGGGAGAAGCTTGCTTTTCTAGGTGCCCACACTCGACGGTTTACGAGGCGCGTCGCTGCTGTAAGTTGAGTAAACACGTACATTTTAACGAGCGAATATTAGCAGAGACACATTGCGCAAAGTTCATAGTTTGTCTGAAGCTCGCTTTGTGAAACGTACCACATTTGTTCGCACAATATCAGTGCTGTTGGGTATATTGTTGGCTACTGAGGTAATTAAACTTTAATGAAGAATAATCTCATACATTAACTGGGAGTCTAATCAGAAGCGAAAACAAGTGCCGTCTAAGACCAGAAGTGTGTATACAGACGTCATGGACTGCACAACTCAAGTAAGGTATGACCTGGAAGTCACGTAAAGGAAGTAGAAAGTCATGTAAAGTTGAACAAACAAGGTGTCTAGCCGACTTAATGCATACAAAAATAGAATCGTCATGCTCATGCCTTTGTCGCATAGACACGGCTGTTTCTCAAGCATGGATATATCAGGGAAACTCTACAGCTGTGAGCACCACAAGAGGGGGGCATGGGGCGCAGGGGCATACGAAGATTTTTTCGGGAAAAGGGGGGGGGGGCTTTCTTTATCTGAAGTGGGGGCCAGGCAGAACAATCGCAGCATATTCACGGAATGACTGATGATGAGTGTAGTGAAGCGTCTGCCCGTCCATGTCTTTCTTTCTTTCTTTCTTTCTTTCTTTCTTTCTTCTTCTTTCTTTCTTCTTTCTTTCTTTCTTTCTTTCTTCTTTCTTCTTTCTGCCTGCCTGCCTGCCTGCCTGCCTGTCTGTCTGTCTGTCTGTCTGTCTGTCTGTCTGTCTGTCTGTCTGTCTGTCTGTCTGTCTGTCTGTCTGTCTGTCTGCCTGTGTCTTTCCGCTCGTATCACACTCAAACACGCATCGGACGAACGGACGGACGCTTCGCCTCACTCATCTTTATTCACTCTGTGGATATGCTGAGAATTTCTTATTTTGACAGCGCCATCTATCTTCTTTAATTGTCAGCTATACGAAAACCACAAACGCCATCTAGTGACCGATTCTTAAAACTAACTACAAGTGGCTACTACAATGTACTACGAGGGAACGACCCACACCTTAAGGATCTTCGGCCTTAAAAATGTGGTCGAGTGTCATTTTGCGCTCGGTGTGCCATGGTAGAGAAAAATTTCAGGGGGAGGGGGCACTAGCCTGGTGTGTGCTACACCCCAGCTCCGCCACTCACGGAGAGGCAGGGTGCAGAAATGGCTACGCGCTTTCGAGAGATCGTCGCGTTCTTTTGCGGTCAGGACACGCGCGAGGCATACGCACCGTGATCTTCGAGGTAGCGTAGGCAGCAGTTGACGACGCGTGGAACCTGAGGTCCCGTGAACGGTGAGGCAGTCGTCGTCGCCAGGATCCGTGGTCGAGCTGCGATGCCGTAGAGACTCCACCGAATCCTGCGCGTTTGAAACGCTATCGTCATTCGGTTACGACAACGACGCGTGCGCAGCAGACATGTCTGCGCTTGTGCAAGGGCCCCTCCCCCGTCTTGGCCTTCCAAACTAATAATAATATTAATAACAATGAAAAAAATCTTGCCAGCAAACGACAGCGTCGTCGCGTCTCGCGTTCCGGCGCATTTCGCGGGAGCCATCCTATATGACAATAATGGAGCTGCTTCTTCATCACGTGGTGCTATACAGGTGAGCTCGGACGCCATGGATGAAATTGAGGACGAATGGATACATGGACGTGCAAATGACCCGAACAACGGCGACGAGTTGAGCCTGAGCAACGGCACCAGGGAAGACACCTAGCGAGGATGTTCGCAGCCAAGCTCTATAAAAATATCCCACCGTTAGGTATATACGGCACGGTTAAATAGGTTTTTTTTATACCTGCATCCAAAATTAAACAAAATTTTCACACTTCCTTGCAAAGGACCACGCCCTTTTGAAATTGCGGGAAAAAAGCGCGACCCTTTATACAGCAGCTAAGAACTGAACTCTAAATATCGGGAGAACCGCTGGTGCCCAGAAAAACAAAACACTCGCTGCGCAGCGATTTGTAGAATGGACTCAAGTTTTCATAGCTGAAATTATCAGATCGTCGACAACGTTCGACAAATTTAGGCGCATTCAGGCGAGCCTAGAACCTGAGCGATAACACACGTAATCGTTTTTACCATTCAACCATTTTATCCAATGTCTTGAAGGCCGTTAACTGTCACTTTCAAAAATTAGAATGTAATTAAAGAAAGAAAAAGGAAGTGGTAGAAGTTATGGACTGCAGCTTTGAACGGGGTGCACACATACGGTAAAAAAAAATGAAGCTCATTGCAATGTTACCACGGCAGCTACACCAGACCTCCCATATCTATATTATTTATTTGTTCTTGTTTGTTTAATCTTTATTACTGTTAACTTTAGAAGGTTCACTAAAGGATTGGATGAACAATCAGGTGTTCCATCATCGAAGTTAAAAGACGCAGCGGCCATCTACTCGTTGTTGAACCCCCCCCCCCCCCCCAAAAAAAAAAAAAAAACCTGTTCTCTGTGCTCTTGAACATTCAGTAACGCTGATATGATATGAGAATCGAGGTCGTTTGACTAATAATAACCATTAGGATTTACGTCTTATAACCACGATATGATTATGAAAGACGCCCGTGATTGGAGAGGGCTCCGCAAATTTTGACCACCTCTAACGTTCAACTGACTCTAATGACACAACATCTGGTATTTTGCCTCCATAGATATTCGACCGCCGGACCGGAGCCAGCATCCGATCCCGCGACCTTCAGGTACCACCAGTCCAGCACCATGGCCTACCGCGACGGATGAGGTCATTTGAACCTCAGCAGAACTGCTGACCCAAAGGTAGCAGGTTCGATCCCCGACGCGGCGGTCGCATTTCGATGAACGAAAAATGGTAGAGACCCGTGTGCACTGTGCGATGTGAGTGCAGATTGTCAAAACGCCAGATGGTCGAAATTTCCCGAGTCCTTCACTGCGGAGTCTCTCACTGTCACACGGCGGTTTCGGGACGTGAAACCCCACATAAAATCATCATTATGAGGTCACTCGAAGGCGATTGCTATAATACGGTCGTTATCCATCATTACCGTGCTGAACTAGCGCTCAAATAACCTCGCGGTGAGCACAGACACTGGGGGTATAACGTACCGTTACCCTCTATCTGTTATAGTTAGGGCCGCAAGTAAAAAGCATACGACCCGCCGGCACCAGTAACGGCGTACAGTAAGCAATGAATCACCGCCAGGCGTTAGTTTGTAGACCCGCTCGTACGAGGCTCTTCTAGGCCGTTGTGAAGCCAGAAACAAACACACACACAAAAAAAAATCGTTAGCACATGTCGTTCCATCGGGCAGTGTTCCAAGATCACTTCGTACGCGCCGTAAGTGAACGTAAAGAAACGAGCTGAAGAGAAGACGGGCACAGAACGTCTCCTCAAGTTGAGAGAGAATTGAGGCGGGGGGGAGGGAATGCAAATAAGGAACTTCAAAGGCTCCGCGCGTCCCTGAGCGGGTTGCTTCGCGGGGAACGAAGCGTCGACGGAGGCGCCGTTTTCTTGTCACACACTTCGTGCGCGACGACGGAAAGGGGAGAAGATCAACGCCGCTAAATGCGTCTCGTCTGGACGGTCGGGACTAGCTACCTACCGTTAGTCGTCGTTTTTCTCGACTAGAAAGGGTTTCGGAGAACGCAGAACAGCGAGGACACCTCTTTTCAAGGCCCGCGCCGGAAGGAGAGCTGCTAGCCGGTCGGTCTTTTTCGCTCGGGCTCGGTGCCATTTCACGAAGGTTATTTGCTTGCCCCTTCTTAGCCCTACGGCTAACGCAACGACCGACCGTGAGAAGAATACACCCATAAGAAGAAGCCTATGAACGGTATTAAGAAAGGCGCTCGCAACGGGGCGCTCTACGTAAAACCGACTCACGCGCGGCTTCTGGACGAAAAATAAATCGTAGTGACAAATGAAACGAGGGCAGACAATACTGCTGCTCGGCCTAGATGGAACGAAGTTTTTCGCGCAAACACACGGGCACGGAAGAGGGATGTCACCACTCTTCCGTATACATCCCTTATTCGTCCCCGTTTGTTCGTGCAAAAAAAAAAAAACGCTAAGAGGGCAGATAGGTACACGGTAGTGCCACTAGCTTCAAACTTTAGTGTAACAAAAGAAACATGCGAAACTATATACACGGCTCAAGAACATAATCCGTAATCCCACAATTGCCCCCCCTGAAACGAAGAGTCACTAAGATATGATTCCTAAATATAATCCATTGTTTCCGGTCCGATTATAGCGAGGGTCATACCCTCGGCTGCGTTTGTGCTGCGTATATGTATTTCCGTATGTTTATTCAATATCTAGCCGCTAGAAGCTAGCGTGTCTCCCGCGTCTTTCCTTGCGTCGTTTCGCGTTACAATTCTTTATCCTCCAGGAACTCACGAACCAACTAGGCCAAGATAAGGATTTGTGAAGCCACATATGGCGTCCGTTATCACACATCGTGCCGCTTTGGAAACAGTGCGCGCGTGCTATCGGAGGCCTGTGGAGCTACACTACTATAGAAAACCACTACCGTCCGGAAGGGAAGTTTTGCGAGCCGATAGGTTAGTACAAACAAGATGGAAGATCAGGAGAAAATGGGGGCTTCAGGTGAAGAAAGATGGTGGAAACAAGGAATATCGCTGGATTCGGCGTTTTAACAAGGGCACTTCCCGTAGCCACGGCAACCATAAGGCGTATGTTCCCCATTTTCGGGCAAGATAAGAGAATAGAGAAAGAATGAGGTACAGAAAATAAGTCGGCTCAATGTTGTCATCAAAACTTCCAATTTGTTTGCGCAATGTGGTAATTGATATCTGGGACAAATGTAGCCACTAAGTAAAAAAAAAAACAACAACTGCACCCCCCCCCCCCCCATTTCCGCCTCCCATAAGCGCCACCTCTAAATGCAGCAACCAGCAACTGCTTTCTATATAAAGCTACCTATGTATATCACATGATGCACACTTCACATCCTCTTTCCGGTTTCCTTATTAGTCATCCGTGATTTGGCTTTTGTAAATATGTACGACTCCTTACATCTTTGGCTTCTGAATGTAAATAAAACAGTCAGCTCGCGCCGCACGTGTACGAATTCGATCGACCGTGTTTCTTCGTTGGTATCTCGTAACAAATACGCAGCGCAACATCGCTTTCTTAATCCAGTGAGAACTTGTCAGCTTTGCCAAGAGTCATATTCTTGCTACTCATGCTGTCTTGTTCTCTCACTGTTGCGAAAAACACGACTGAATGAAGAGGCAGGAGTTGAACGCGAGAAACCTCGTCCAGTTCTTCAGCGCGCCATTACGCAACACCTTCATCTTTTTTTTTTTTCGGCCAATTCTATTCCTTCTATGCGACACGTTCGCCTAGTGCGCAATCTACGCGATAGCGGTGGCGAGGATTCCCGAGCAGTCAATGTATGACAAAGGACTAACAAGATCAAGTACATCAGAAAGAAGGAGAACGAAAAAAAAAGCAAACAAGAATGGTTACATAATACGCGGGCCCTGCCGAATAGTCGGTGCTGGCTCGCTGTTGTCGTAGGCAGCGTTCCAAAGGCATCACCTTCGAGTAAGCGAACGGAGACGCCGTACCTTTCTGGAGTTTTCGGCTGGAGAAGTCGGCGAGCGAGGACAGGGAGCTCTCGCTGGCGTTGTCCGAGCGTCGAGACAGGGCGTCCGCCGCGGCCACGTCCGGGCCCAGGTCCCAGGGCGACCAGGGAGCCGGCTGGGCCAGCGTCGAGTCCGGGAACCGCTGCCGGTCGCTCTGCACCACCTGCTGCAGTCCCACGCCGAACACCTGGCCACACGGAATGTCTGCTGCAGTGGGGGGTGAGAGACGGAACAGTACTTACGCCACAGAATAGCTTCCGTAACCTTAAGGAACCAGCCGACAACAGGACAAAGAGAAGAACAGTAAAAAAAGGGGCCCTTGTACGATGTTGCGTAATGGCCGATGGGGTTTCCGAAAGCACCAGTACTTAGTGGCACTAGCATTCCTCTCATTTGTTTTCTTTCGATTTCCCCTTTTTCCAGATCAGGGTAGTCGAGACTCACTACATGCGCAAGCCGGGTACCAAACTGCCGCAAGTCAGGGGATCATGCACATTACTTCACGATCATGTATGTTACTATGTACTCGAGGCGGAATACATACGCATCGAACTTATCGTGATGTGGCTAGATCGCGTGTGAGCTTTTGCGGGAGTAGATCAGTGAAGACCATAGCTTGTGGTTTAGGGCGAGTTGGCGCAGCAGATAAATGGTGCGATGGGCGAAAAAACTTGGTGCCCGTGTGCGGATCACACCTATGGTTTCTGCGAAGTGTGCCGTGAAAATTTACGATGACAACCTGACAATTATTCAATTGTTAAACATAATATCATTACTAAATAAAACAGCTACCGTTACTGAGAAGCATAGGTACGGGCATGAAGTATTTTGTTTTGGGCGCTCGAAAACCGACATGATCTGTCTTCGCACAGAAAATCGGTGAAGGCCTTATTGAACTTTTTGCGTGGTAGTGGCCGATTGAATAGGCTATAGCACCCCGCCCTCTTTTTTTCTTTTTCGCGCGTCTATTTCGCTCTTCGCTTTATTTCCCATCTTTATTTCATATTCCCCTTTCCTTTAGTGCAGGGTAGCAAACCGGATGCCCCAATTTTTGGTTGAGCTACCTGCATTTCCCTCATTTTATTCTCTCTCTCTTGTCTTGGGTGCGGCAAAGCTGTGCTGCATCACGTGGTGGTCTAGTGGCTAAGGTACTCGGCTGCTGACCCGCAGGTCACGGGTTCAAATCCCGGCTGCGGCGGCTGCATTTCCGATGGAGGCGGAAATGTTGTAGGCCCGTGTGCTCAGATTTGGGCGCACGTTAAAGAACCCCAGGTGGTCGCAATTTCCGGAGCCCTCCACTACGGCGTCTCTCATAATCATATGGTGGTTTTGGGACGTTAAACCTTACATATCAGTCAATCAAAGCTGTGCTGCATCACGTGGTTAGAGTGAGGGGGGGGGGAGTGGTACGGGGGACAAGTGCTTTTTTTCGGTGACGACCGACGTCTTGCTTATACGCAGGCCGTTTTACTGTTTGCCGCGCGCCTTCTGTCTTTTTATGGCGGAAGTGCATGATTCGGTGATGGCACTAAGATCTAGGAATCACCCGAACTATAACAACTTTAACCCTTTAAGTCACCAGTTATGATGCGCTGTCAAAAACGAGTCGAATTCGCGTGGTGTAATTCCAAGGCACTCAGTATTACATTCCGAGTCAGAAAATGAAAAAAAGAGCGTTGTTTTGTGTGAATTTTAGTAATAGAAAATTTCTGAGCGTGTAACTATAATGTAATTGTTCTGCCATCAGCCAGCTTCAGTGCTTGCATAAAAAGAATCCCATATTAAGCTTGAAATACATGTACAGTTGGTTTTTTTGTTTTATTTGTTTATTTGTTTCGAGCGAAGAAAAAAATACTTTTTTTCACGTTGGTCCTGAAACGCATCACGTCGAACAATCGTCGAACATGGTGGTGCATTCACAAAAGCTATTTTCTGCAGCGATATATGCCGCATGATGAAGTTAAATGATCACCATTTGTACACTCGAGAGGTCCTCACGAATGTGCACCCCAAGTTTCGAGTCATTTGATGAAACGCGTGGTGCGTGACGTACCATTGAAGTTCAAGTGTACATCTGTACATACTACACAGCTGTGAACGTAAGAAGCGAATAAACTTTGACATCGACACGCGAGAGACGACAGGAAGGCACCCGGAACTAACGGGCTGTTTACAAACCGTGTACACTATAGCATGCGCGAAGCATAACGTGAAGAGGCGAGCTACAACTTCGCTTGCCGTCGCTGCAAGCTTCCCGTTCTTTTTTTTTTTCCTTGATCGTCTGCCGCCTATCCGCGTAAAAGCACTAAACATGCACGCTCCGTCACAACAGCTACACGCGAGCGGGAAACATCGGTCGCCAGCCGCCGGGGGTCGCCAAACTTCAACCGCAGTTTTGCCAAATAAACCTCTCCGCTCGTATGACGTCAGCAGGCGAGGGCGAATGAAAACGCGCACCTGCTCAAAACTGAGGATTAGCACGCGCAGCGCAACGCAAAGGTTCAAGTTTTCGTTGGCACGTGCGACGGCAGCTTGGATCCACTGACGTGATACCGTAGATGGCGCCAGAGCATGACTCAGCCTGGTTCGTCACGTGTTTACAAACACCAAAAGTACGCATGCGTGAATGCCAGAGCTACCTTGCCGGAGAACTCGGCACACGCGCGTAAGCTAGGCGATAAAGAGAACAGAAGGGTACAAAAATTAAAGATTTCTCCGGTTTGATTGATTGATTTGTGGGGTTTAACGTCCCAAAACAACCATATGATTATGAGAGACGCCGTAGTGGAGGGCTCCGGAAATTTTGACCACCTAGGGTTCTTTTAACGTGCACCCAAATCTGAGCACACGGGCCTACAGCATTTCCGCCTCCATCGGAAATGCAGCCGCCGCAGCCGGGATTCAATCCCGCGACCTGCGGGCCAGCAGCCGAGTACCTTAGCCACTGGACCACCGCGGCGGGGCTAAAAAGATTTCTCCGGGAAGCATGAAAAAAAAAAAAAACAATCATGCTCATCAATGCGCGAAATAAAATAATTACAGCGCGCGAAATTTTTCATTGAATACCCAGCTTTCTACAACCCATATGGAAATAAATGCGATGAAAACAGTTCGTGACTGGTTCATTTCCCCCCCCAAAATTCAGTAATTGGAGAATAGTTGTTTCTCATCAACACGTCAAAACCACGTACCTCAGTGTAACAGCTCGTAAATTGGAGTCTATATATACACACACACATATACAAGGTGTCTCTTGAAATGTGCCCAATATTGTTTAAAAATGACAGAAAGGAGACATCTGCGTTCTACACCCGTGGCGTTCCCCTTACTGCGGAACAAGACATCTTCAGATGTCTACAAACATTATTTATTTATTTATTTATTTAAAAATACCTTACAGGCCCTCGTTGCAGGGCATTGTGTAAGGGGGGTTACAAAGGGTGAGTGTCGCGACAAAACCGTAAGGAAACATCAAACTTTGAAATGTTGTAGGCCCGTGTGCTCAGATTTGGGTGCACGTTAAAGAACGCCAGGTGGTCGAAATTTCCGGAGCCCTCCACCACGGCGTCTCTCATAATCATATGGTGGTTTTGGGATGTTAAACCCCACATATCAATGTCTACAAACATTAATTATGGCAGTACTTATAGAAATAAAAACAATAAATTTTCGAACCAGTGGAAATAACCGGTCGAGTCGAATGAACGAATTCAAGTTCTTCCTATAAACAGTTCGTAGCCACTTCAAAATTTTTTAAAGGTCTGGTAGTCACCACAAAGCGGTGGAATCTGGCTAATTTAGCAGGTGATACCGAAACATCAAACAGCGCATATACCATTCACTTCAAATACGCCTTCAATGACGACACTGTTTCCCTCGCATTGGTGGAGGAGGACAAGTGAACGTCGGGGCCATGAAGCGGAACGTCTAGATTGACTGTTGATAACGGCGATGGAAACAGTGTCGTCATTGAGGGCGTATGAAGTGAATGGTAGATTCGCTGTTTGATGTTTCGGTAGCACCTGCTAAATTGGCAAGACTTCATGGCTCCGCGATGATTCCAGTGGCCACATTTCAAAGAGAGAAAATAAGAAGAAAGGCGGGGAGGTTGATTATGGCTGAGCCCGATAGGCTATACCCTGCACTGGGGCATGGGGGAGGGGGAAGGAAAGTTATACAGGAGCAGAGAAATGTTACTGGTTGAGTGAATTTTGAAGTGGCTATGGACTATTCGTAGGAAGCACTTGCATTCACCCAATTGACTTGACCACCTATTTCCACTTGTTAAAGAGTCAATTGTTCGATTTCCAAAATTACTGTCGTAATTAATGTTTGTACACATCTGAAGGTGTCTTCTTACACAGTGAAGGTAACGCCACAGGTAGCACGTAGACGCCTTTGTTTATGTAGTTTTTAATAACATTTCTTGAAACAGCCTGCAGTATATGCGTACGTTTACTGCTTAAAGAAAGAAGGCAAGTGTGCGTGCATTCTTACCACTTTCCTTGCGACTTTCGAAAAAGCTCGTGGTAATGGCCTTCTTGCGAAGTAGGGCGGGCCGTCTTCGCAGTTTCGCCGAGGCCTCCGTGCTGTCCTCTGCAGGTACACAGGAGCGCAGGTGAAGAAAGTCACGACGCTGAACTCGTGCGTTGTGGCTACTGACGCTGAATGACAAGCATGCTGTGTATCACGTCGTTATGGCAACACGTACAATGTCAACAGCAAAAGTTTTCAGAACTAGGGAACAAGAAAGAACAAGGAATAAAGAAAAAAAAAGAGACGCTTCTTCTCAGCCAAGTTCGCATTCTAATCGGTAGGTGCAGCGAATAACTCATTGCACTACAACCATATTACGCTGACCTAAACAACTGCGGGCTTTTTTGGTGAGATCGTGATTAAACAAAATGTTTTGACGAATTTTGTGTTCAAAAAACGTTTGCGTCCATGTCCTCCGAACGAAAGCGCTTTATGTTTTCTGTAGAGAATATTAAAAAACCTATAATTATTGGAGGTCTCTCTCGTTACAAGCAAGCGACAGACTCGTCGACTCTCGAGTGTGCTCCCGTAAGCCGCATGACACACGTTTCGACGTTTACGAAACGCAGAAACGCAGACTTTATCAGTCAAACTTGGGATGTTAAACCCCCAACTATTATTGATCAGTCAACCAACTTGACTAAAAGATAGATTTTTTTTCTTGCGTTTCCCATTTTGCCTTCAAACATATATGTTTGCATCTACACTGCAACCCTCGTTATTCACGTGCTCTGTTGCAAATGGCTCAAGTCTGCAGTGCAGAGCGAAAAAATACCTCCTTGTGGCCCTCGTGCAAAGAACATGCGTGTGTTGCAGGCTTACATGAGACGGCAACACGGCATACGCAAGCGACGGCGGTAGCTTACAAATCACGAAAGGAGGCGAAAGGAAAAGTAACAACGAGAACGAAAGCTTGCGCAGAGCTTAACGAAAAGGCTTATACACAACGATCTCGATACGACAGAGCTGTTCGCCGCTGCTGACATGCGTTCGCTCATAAGACGTCGGAACTGTTTCTGAACAGGGCGCCAAATTATGCTTTCTCTTAGGTCTGTGGCCCATGGCGACAAGTGGTCTGCAAGCGCTTGGGTTAAAAAAACCTCGAAAGACATCGTTGTACTCCAAAGTACATGCCTAATTACTTGCAGACTGAACGGCATGTAGTTGAAAAAAAAAAAACTACAGGTATTCGCATTTGAATTTGTCATGGTGTACGGATGAAGCAAGCAAAAATACCCAACACAACTGTCTACCAACACAACTGTCTACAGAGCACGAGAGCTGAGACGTGCGTTTGGAGCGAGCTTCATGGTTCGAGACAACTTGCAGCTGAGAAAACCATGGAGAGGTATGAAACGCCGCTCGACGGTGTCTCCGATCTTGTGTCTGTTTCACAGTTGTACTTTATCAATAATTCAAAATCCGCGCTTCAACGCAAAGGCGTTCCTCGTCGTTCCGAGTTGTCTTTGTTGGATAGACTACAGTACAATTACCGTGGCCTGCCCAGTAAGGCAGGTCTCGATCGAGCGGCTTATTCAACAGGTGGCCTGAAATTCAGATAGAGGCCGTGTACCCACCTCTGGGTATGTCTACCTTGCAGCCGATGCCGATGCTTTGGAGCCTATTTACAGCCAGTGGCCGGAAACCCATGGCTTCCGTCTCGGTGAGCGCCACGAGCGTCGTCGGCCGCAGCGTCAGCCGGCCTCCGGTCCGGGAACGCCAACGGCAGCAGCCCTGCACGCACCGACCAAACGTATGTATCTCACAGAACCTTCGAAAATCTCAATGAATAGTACCCACAAATGACTGCAGAACACGCGCTGCGTTTTTGCTTGCGTGATTGCTTGTGTAGCGGGGACGTACCAGGAAAATTTTTTAGGAGGTGGGGTGGTCGGGGTTCAAACATATTATTACGAGGCAGTGGGCATGGCTCTACCGTCGTGGACAACAGTTCGATGAATAAGAGGTGGACTCGCCGCGCGAGAGACTGGCAGCTCTGAAGCGTCACTTTGGCATGTAAATATAGGAAATACGCTCATTTCTCTCTTCCGTGTGTTTGCGAGCTCCGTAACAATATTTATGTTAGAGCGTGCGTTTGTATGTGCGTGCACATATAAGCAAGCGAAATCTAAGATCGAATAATTTCGGAAAGAAAAAGTTTAGACACCTCCCCCTTCCCCCGGCTACGCCACTGGTGTCTACCCTGTCATATGCAATAAGGGTTGTACAGTCGGCGTCAGAAGTTTTAGAGTCCACCAAGTCAGAACATCGAGGTTCCGGCGATTCGCGAGTCCATTCATTTGCACTGCACAGTAAATGTCTGCGCGCTTTAGAACAAGCCGATAGCCGAAACCTGGGGCTGCACGCCGAAGCGGCTTGGAAACGCGAACCTTCCCCTTACGACTCGTGGTCTCTGAGCTTCCGTCGCTGATCGTGTAAAGCGGGATCGTACCTCGGGGCTCCAGCTGCAGACGCTGAGCGTGGATACCCTGGACTGGGACTTGGCCCGCGACCTCCACAGCTTGCGCGGAACGTTGGACAGCTTGCCGGACGGACGGCCAGCGTGCTGTTGCTGCTGCTGTTGCTGGTGTTGCTGCTGTTGGTGCATTCCTGAGGAATTTTGAAGTCATGCGTTTTCATTATACATACATACATACATACATACATACATACATACATACATACATACATACATACATACATACATACATACATACATACATACTACATACATACATACATACATACATACATACTACATACATACATACATACATACATACATACACACAAACACACACATACATACATACTACATACATACATACATACATACATACATACATACATACATACATACATACATACATACATACATACATACATACATACATACATGCATACATACACACATACATACATACATACATACATACATACATACATACATACATACAAATAACATGTGCGACAGAACCACGGCATCGTGCAGAACTTTTGGGACCAACCAACCTCTAACCGTATTACGTTCATGTAGTTATCTGGCGCTGGACGCCGGGGTGCTTATATTCATGTAGTTATCTGGGGCTGGACGCCAGGGTGTTTATATTGAGACTAGAAATTCCCCCGACACAATTATTAAGCGTCGGCGAATTTCGACTGTTGACAGCTAGCTTTACGCAGCCCGCGAAATGTCTAAATGTTTCCGGGGTTATAAACATATAAGGAACCGTGGACTACATTAATAATACAAGGCCATTCCTACATTGACTTACCAATGTATCTTGTGAGGTTAGACGCATAGTCTGCCAAGAAACAGCTTCTCAGCTCAACGTTATCTGCACCGGCGTTATAACAAGACACTGGTGTTGGCAAGTTTTTTTTTTTTTTGCTTAAACTCAGCGCCGAAAGCGAATAGTATCGGAGTAAGGAGTAATAACGTAAACGCAGTAGCCGCCTAACCGCAGAGAGTCGAGCGAAAAAGCTCGTGGCGTTTCTCCATCGCTTTCTTTAGCAGTCGGCGCATCCTTGTTGACATTTAGGCGCAGATGGGAAAAATCCGAAGCCGGACGCAGAGCCGGTGCTTCTCAGGTGCACAAGTCCACGTGGACACGCGGACGACCTCCGGAGCTGATAAAGTATTATTTGTTTGTTTGTAGCCTAGATTCCATGGCTCGTATATATAGTCTCATATGGACGATAACTGCACTGTCGCTTACAATAAAAAGAAGGAATAAAAAGTAGAAGGAAGACAGTATATTAAAACAAACAAAGATTCCGCGAGTGAGAAAAAAACAAGAAAATAGACAGCTGAGTTTGCCAAACCCGATTAATTTGGTATGTATGTCTCAGATTTATCCACATTTCGAAAATTACTTCTCGACCCGCTTCTTTTTTTTTTTGAGTATTTGTTAAAGTGGGCCTCGTGTTGAAAAACGTTTAGAGTCTTGAATAAAATTACACCCCGCATCGAATACATCTTTGTGGCAATTTCCCAAAACGGAGGCTTCGAAATTTAGAACAGTTTCTGTGTTTAAAGTTAAACCTAGATTCGCAAACGGAATGTCTAGAAATCGTTTCCTAATTACTGCATAATTACGACATGAGACAATAATGTCTAATAGTTTCTGATTCTCCGTAGAACGGACAAAGAGGGGAGAGTGTCAGACCAGCTCTGTGTAAACGAAAATTTAATGGGGAAACACGGCACCCGAATCTGGAGATAATAACTTCAAGTTTTTTCGACGGACTCCACACTGAGATTTCCACGGAAATTTTTGAGGTGCTGATAATCTGTCCATCTTGTGATATTTTCCAAACTATCTGTAAAAATAGCAAATTTTCTATATCTAACCCCTGCTAAATATTCCAACTCGCGAAGTACCGATGGTCCATCGAGTGATGCGCGCGTTAAGGCATCTGCCAGTTCATTTAATTGTAATCCGCAGTGGCCTGGGATCCACACTAATTTCAGGAGTTTTAAACGCGGTGGTGCTAATGTGCGGAACGCTGCCAGGGCACGAGATTGTTTTCAGGTTGTCAGAGCTGCACACACCGAAAATGAATTCGTTAGGATGAGTGCACTGGTTTCGGTCGTAGGAAGTTCTCGAAGTGCTAAAATAATAGCTACTAGCTCGGCTTCAAATAGAGGAGTGAAATCTGGAAGCCTCACTGAAAAAGACCAGTCGAGGAAATTGGAGGGAATTACTACGCCTGCCTTTTAATTGTTCACAGAAGCATCTGTAGCTATTACATCATTTGTTTCTGCATGTACCAAGTAATATTTTAATGTATTGGTCAAAAATCTGAGAGATTCTAACTTGGATTGTGGGAGGAAGATTTAATCATACTCTATCCCAATTGGGAGGTTGAGGAATTAGTTTCAATTACCGTGCTGTCTACATTCATGCAATCTAGTTTCTTTTTAACAAAAATTGGCTGAGGTGTATGAAATTGTGGCCAATGTGCAAGACAGAAGGAGTCAGGGTCGCTGATAAATGCGTACTCTGATCTTGGCACCGGTGACCTGTAGAACTTTACAAAGGTTTGAACCGTTAGGATGCGAAATCGACAGAGGAGTGTTGGCAATCCCGCTTCCTGATACATTATTCGCCCCGAACCTGTAAAGTCCCAGGCAAATTTGAGGGCTTCTCGCTCTAACATTAATAGAGGTTGACTTTTATAAACAGTGGCCTCCGGGAACAATACACACCCAAATTCTTATATTGGTCGCATGTACATTCTATATATCATTAACACCGTGTCTCTGCGCAGCCCGTATTTTCTGTTGCTTAGCCTGCGCAATAAAACTAACGCCCGTTGCGTTTTTGCTGTTGTATATTCTGTGTATGGACTCCAATTAAGCTTTTCATTTTAAATCATTCCTAAGTGCTTGACTGAATCTACTTGTGGAATAGGTTCCTGATTATATAATAAATTTAAATTGAACCTGTTATGGGAAACACCAAGAGTGCACTTTTACTTATGTTCAATGATAATGAAATTAATATACCTTTGCAATTTTCGGTGGAATGAGTAAATGTCGCTTTCTGCAGCGAAGAATGCGATATAATCTGCATAAATATAGAAACTGACATCATGATAAATTGGAATAGAGCTCATCAGTATATTGAATAATACTGGAGATAGGACGGCCCCTTGGGGAAATCGACGTTTCTGTCTGAATTTACGCGAACAACATCCATTCTTCACGCAATAAAATTTCCTTAATTACAAGAATTCAGCTATACACTCAATTATATAATGAGGAAAATTTAGGCTCAATTATATAATGAGGAAAATTTGGTTTGGCTTTAATATTAATTTATTCGTCATCCAGACGTTTATTCGGCCCTTTAGGGCCCTCTCTATGAGTTTCACCATGTTAGAAGTTAGCGAAATGGATCTGATATTCTCTATGCTAAAACATAATCCTTGCTTTTTTATTAATGAAACTACCTTAGCTATTTTACAGTCATACGGTATCCAGGCGTTCTTAAAAGAGTAGTTTATAAGATTGAGGACGTCGCTGGTCGATAGCTTGAATAAAATTTTAATCATAGGAGGAACTGTGATTCCATCAGAACCAGGAGCTGAGGAGGGTAAATCTCTAATCCCTTTTGATGATTCAGACAGCGTTAAGTTTTCTAAGTCAGTGTTTAGGCTAGTATTTTGCCAGTTGAAAGCCATAGTTGAAGAAAACCTAATTTCCAGACCTCTGCCAATTGACACTAAAGACTTTGTCGTTTCTTCCAATGATAGCCTTTCATAATCAGTATTTACTGTAGACAGCAGGATTTTGCGAGATTGCATATACCGGAATAAAGCTTTCTTATTTTTAGGTTTTGAAATAAAATTGAAAGGCCTTATATCATATTCTTCTTTAGCTTGGGCCACCGCGTGTTTAAATACAGCGACAAGAAGTTTATAATCTGACCGGTTCTTATGGGACTGATTATGTATTAGCTTCTTCCAAGGTGCCTGTCGTCGTCTGTGATCTCGTGAACAGTCGGAGTTCCACCAGGGGCCAAAGGGTACTCTCTTAGCCCATTGAACAGCAAATTCAGCTTTTTTACATGCCCTTTTAATTACTGCGCTTAATTTCATAGCTTTAGTGTCATCGCCATCTCGAAAGGGAGAGTCTAAAGCAGTTTCTAGGTTGTGTTTAAATTTTGGATAATTTATAAAGATCCGGGCATGGAAACATGATGTTAAAACATCATGTTTCTATGCAAGCGATCTCGAACATTATAGGAAAGTGGTCTCTGTTGGAGGCGCAATCAAGGACTGTCCATGACGTACTAGCAATAGCTGAGCTTACAAAGCTTAAATCTAAGGCGGAGCGCGAATGGCCTCGAATAAATGTGGGAGTTCTAGCGTTAAGGCACAATAAACTGTTGTATATCCACCAGTCCCACAACCGTTGGTCACATTAATCCGTTCTAAAACCCCAGCATGTATGGTGAGAATTGAAGTCGCCAACTAGAATTTTTTTCTTTACAGCCTGTGTTAGCAGCCATATCTAACAATCTCGTTTCTTGTACGCCCACAGAAAAGTAGACGTTTATTAGCGAGAAAGGCAAGTATCCTGGCAAGGTAATATCTAACGCGAAAATTTAGCATTCGGAAGACATACATTGATGATATGTGGGGTTTAACGTCCCAAAACCACCATATGATTATGAGAGACGCCGAAGACATACATTTGTATAAAATTTTAAGTTTTAACCTAAATTTATTGTTTATAAAAAACGCTAAACCCCCGCCTTTGAATGGACGGTCTAGTCAAAAAGATTGGAAGTAGGGTAGTTGAAACAAGTGATGTGTGGAAAGCCAAGTTTCTTGTAATGCAAAAAAGCCGGATCGAATTTGGAAGACAGGTATAACATCTGTTAAGGCTGAGTGAATAGATCGGAAATTCCAAAGTATAATTTTAAGAGACCCTATGGTTTCGTGAGAATGGTTTCGGCAACTACCTTGTCTAAAGTACTTTCATTTAGAAAATTGGATTTTCGAAAGGTTGTGTTTCTGGTATTTTTTTGCTTTTTACATGATTCGGCGAGTCAGGTCTTTTTAATACAGGGAATCTAGAACGCTTTAGGCATTTGA